AGTTTAGTCAGAATTCTGAGAAAAAAGTCAGAATTCTGAGTTTAAAGGCAGAATTCTGAGAAAAAAGTCAGAATTCTGAGTTTAAAGGCAGAATTCTGAGATTAAAGTCAGAATTCTGACTTTTTTTCTCAGAATTCTGACTTTTTTCTCAGAATTCTGACTTTTTTTCTCAGAATTCTGACTTTTTTCCCATACTACACTGAAATAGAATAAAAACAAAAATCAGTTAACATTTTTTTTTTCCAGTGGCCCTAATCCTCTTCCTAAGCTTGCAATCAAATGGGAATCTTAGATAATTTATTGTGTTGATTCACTGTGGCATCTGGTATTTTTGTCACCTTTGGTCTTTAAACAAGATTATTTTGTCATTTCTTATTATACTTTTATTGTTTTCTGTTAATGCTCCCCCTGGCAAATGTTTTTGTTGTTTTGTAATATGTAAACAATGCAGTTTTGTATTGTAAATAATAAAGTTTATAAAAAAAACAAACAAAAAAAACATCATGCAAAAAAAAAAAAGTGGGAGAAGTTGCAAAATATCCGGGTGTTAAATACTTATAATCCTCACAGTAATAGATCTATACTGTAGATCTACAGCCTCCAAACATTATCCAAACGAGACATTTAATGCGCCTGATGCTCTATGTTTTGAAGCCCCGCCCCCAGATTTCCTTATAAGAGACAAACTTTACCAAAATAGCTCCTGGAAACAAACAGGAAGTTAATTACATTGTTTATGGTTCACTCTTGAGAAAACAGTAACCTCTAGGGAGAAGCTGACTGACCCGGTAGTTTGCTGCAGTTTTCCTCAAATAATCAGAGGGAGGGTTTTTTTTTTCCATTTTAGTTTATTATCAGTCTATTTCCCAACCATTTTAAAATGTTTCTTTTGAGTTGTGGAGAACAGACATGACGGGATGGAGCCTTGGGTCTAACTTTTGCATTTGCTGTGTTGATTTAAACTGTGCATGTGAATAATGTGAATTATGAATAAATATGATGCATGTTTCTCTATGTTTATGAGTAAATACCTGTATGACCTTTGGGGTTCTCGCCACTAGTTTCTTGTTTCCAATTTAGCTCAAACTCATGTTTGGGGTGAATTTCGTTACATTATTTTTGTGAGCAAAGAAAACATTTTTAAACAGAAATTTGAAAAAAATATATATATATATCCAGAAATAATTTTGAGGGCATCTTTGCTTCTTCAGACATTATGTTTTCAATTTTTTTAAACATTTTATTTCTTAACATTTTCCTCCATCTATCTATCCACCCATAGGAGGAAATACAAGTGGAAAATGGCTAATTATCGCCACAGATTATGTGGCATTGAGCTAATAATTTTTTTTTTCTGTTTTACAACTGCAGCCTACAGTCATTGCATTTAAGGCACAACAATTTTTACACGTTTTTACCAATAATCTGCACTACTTATGTATTGTTTCATATAAATTTTTACAGTTTGAAGTTAAGAAGGTCAGGCTTATGTTTAAAACACTTATTTTATTCAGCAAAGTTTGTTATTTTGTATTAAAGTGAATTGCTATATATTGATTTGTTTTCCATGTGTTCATGTCACCCACAAATATGCATCTAATTCAATGCAGATTTCATTCAAATAGTTAAAAAAATATATTTTCACACACAAAGGGGGGCTAAAAAAAACTGAACACGCCAGGAGGGGTGAAGGGAATCAGGTCAGCTGGGACGCACATGAGGTGTCCCTGTTTTTTCCTGTTTATCACAGAGCAACACAGAGACTCACAAACATGCACACACACTCACATCTAGGAAGAATTATAGAGACGCCGATTAACCTAACAGTCAAGTTCTTGGACTGTGGGAGGAAGCCTGAGTACCTGGAGAGAACCAACGCATGCACGGGGAGAACATGCAATACCCCCAGGCTGGGAGTCAAACCCAGAACCTTCTAGCTGCAAGGCAACAGTTCTACAAGCTGTGCATCCGTGCAGCCATTTCCCCCACATTTTATTTCCTTTCTTTATTTCTCTTTTTCAGATTTAGTTTTATGAATTGCATTCTATTCAAAGTTTTCCAGATCATATTCTCTTCATCTGTGGGGCGGAGCTTCCTTCTGGAGGGAAGAGAAAAGACGCTTTTCTATTGGTCTGATGGAAACTAGAAACTATTCGTATCGGGCTTGAAATGAAGAGTCTCGATCTGCAAAATGCAATTTATAAGGAATTGAATTCATGAAACTCAGTCCGTAAAACAGCTATGTGAAAAAACAAACAATCATGTAAGAAAACAGCCAAATTATTTAAAAAAAAGTTTTTAATTTAAAGGTTTTTCAGTCATTTTTGTATTGAATTTGTTTGTAAAATTATATTTACCAAACGTGTTCTTTGCTTGCAAAAACGATAAAACGGAATCCAGATTAGTTAAAGAACATCAGTTTTCCAAGTTTGACCTTAGATGCTTAATTAGCTTCATCTTCATCTATAAACCTAAATACAAGGAGAGAGAAACTGTTCAGCAAAGTGTGAACCTTATCAGCAGTGGGAACACTGTCGTACGGCCTGCCCCACTGCAGCCTATGGAATGCATATGACTGCTGGGCAGAGACGTTTACTGTCATACAGACTGGATCAGCATCAACAGTAGATTATTTTAACAAAGACTTTTTTCATAAAGTCTTAAAACTTTTCCATCCTCCTTTACTTATGCAGACAGTGGCGGTTCTAGACCAAATGTACCAGGGGGCCAGGAGGGGGGCAGCCTTGTTTTCATGGGGGAACAGAAAAGTATGAAATAAAAAACAGGGCAAGAATGGCTGCATGAAGTGAAATTTCTATTCAATTCGGTTTCATTAAAATTCTATGACTAATTAGTATAGAATTTTACATATTTTTGACTTAATTTAGGTTGAAATTACAGTTTTTATAAAATCCGAATTATAATTCAATGACAACGGATAAATTCAGCTGTAAAAATTAGAGTATTTTTTTTTTTTTTGAAAAAAACATTTAGCAGATGAAAACAGGGATCCCATCTCAATCCCACTGAAGCCTAATTATCACCTTATTGTTTTTAAATAGTTAATAAAACAGAACTTGTAAAGAAATAAATGAAATAGATCCAAAGGAGCTATCGGCAAAATTACCAGGTCTGCATCCTTCCACCTTGGCAACATTAACCGTCTCCGTTCCTCCCTCACCACTCATACTGCCTCTGTCCTTATCCACAGCCTCATCACCTCCTGTATTGATTATTGCAATTCTCTTCTTTTTGGCCTCCCTCATAAATCTCTCCATAAACTTCAACTTCTTCAGAACTCAGCTGCTCGTGTCATCACCAGAACCCCCTCCTTCCATCATATTTCCCCTGTTCTTCACCAACTCCATTGGCTCCCAGTTCAATTCAGAATTCAATTTAAAATCCTTCTCTATATTTTCAAAGCCATCCATAACCTTGCTCCTCCATATCTGTCAGACCTCCTTCACATTGCCACCTCCTCCAGCTCCCTTAGATCCTCCTCCTCCATCCACCTCACTGTACCCCCAGCTCGACTTGTCACCATGGGGAGCAGAGCCTTCAGCCGCTCTGCTCCCCAGCTCTGGAACTCACTTCCTCCCGACCTCCGCAGTATTGACTCTCTCCCCTTATTCAAAGCCAGACTCAAAACCCATCTGTTCCAGCTCGCTTATTTGTGATATACTGCTCTTTTCCCTATCCATGATTGTTTTTTTGTTTTTCGTTTTTTATGTTCCTGTATCTGTATTTTGTATTTTCATCTCTTTTTATTTATTTTTTTGTATTATTTGTAAAGTGACCTTGAGTGTCAAGAAAGGCGCTGTTAAATAAAATGTATTATTATTATTATTATCGGTAACCATGTCTGTTCCAGCGCAGATCATCATCAGAATTTCTTTGAGTATTATGTCTTCAGTAGAGGGGCCAGGACATGATCTATAGGGGCTCTGGCCCCCGTTGGCGGGTCTAGATCCGGCCATGTATGCACATTTGGTAAAAACACTGAAAATTTAATGTAAAATTTTTTCTTTACAGGAAGTGGAAACTCTGTTTAATCGTCAATGTTTTTGTCAAGTGTGTTTTTCACCAAGTAACAACAACAAAGGAGCTGAGAGTGGGAGGAGCCTAACTCAGGTAAACAGTGGGAGGAGCCTAACTCAGGTAAACAGGAGCACCAGGGATGAGGAAAACTTATGGTTCATGCAGCTTTCTGGTTTTGGAGACGTTTATTTGTAATATTTCATCCAAAAAAATTACTGATGTTTTTTTTATTATGCAGATTTTTACCTTTTTACATTTTTATGACACCCTAGGGGTAGGGGTTCCAAATATTATTGTAAATAAACTTATGAAATAAAAAAACAGAGCAAAAGTATTCACACCCATAACGTTATTCTTCATTCATCGAGAAAAATCCATCAGAACCACGAAAGACAAACAAGAAAGCAAGAAAAGCGGCGCAGGCGGTGTTTCTGTCCGCATCAAGCTCGCAGACACTACATTCCATTTCCGCTCAGTAACTTCAAAATAAAATACTTTGTTTTTATTTCTAAATATTTTACTGCCTCTTTTTTGCCCAGTTAGTTTTCACACACACAAAAAAAAAAAAAAAAAAAAAGAGTTTGATTTCTGAGGTTAACTCACCTTCAGGTTCTAAGTAAGGAAAATTCATTTAGTCTTAATACGGAAGGATCTTAGCTGGACTTTATTAATTAGGAATATTTATTGTCAATATGAAACCTTAAGGATAATTTTTAGGGGTTTTCTGCTAAATCTTATCTAAATATGTTCAAATATTCGCTAAAAATATTAAAAGTGAAAACACAATTGATGAAGTCATCGTCTGCTCACCTTACTTCCGGTCTCGGCTTTGTTTCGCTAACTTACCTCGGACTCTTTTTTTTTTTTTTTTTTTTATTCTATTTTCCTCACCTAACAAAAGTAAATCAGTCCAAACATCAAGCAGAGCAGCAGCAGCAGCAGCAGCTGTCAGGTCTTCTTACCTCTGCTGTTGGTCTCTGCTTTTATTCCTCCTCCCTGGATGTTGCTGTCAGGCAGCCAGTAGCTCTGAAAGCCTCTCAGATCAGATCAATCTGCAAACAGCTGCAGCTGCTGCAGGAAGCATCATGTGACGAGGCAACATAAAGCTGCACATCACCTCTCCAGCGCTCAGATATTACAACAGAAAAACTCAGAGCTACGGAAGAAGATTAGGGCCACTGAGAAAAAAGTTAACATGTTTTTTTTTTACTATTATTTTCGTTTGATATTGAAGAAAAGTCAGAATTCGACTCATAATTCTGATTTTAATCCCAGAATTCTGACTGAATAACAAACATGTTAGCATCAAGCCGTAGCCATGTCTGTTTTAGAGACTAGCTGTCTGGTTTTAATCAAGCTAAACTCTTAATGAAATAGCATCACTAAAATTCTGAGATTTAAGTCCAAATTCTGAGAGAGAAAAAAAAAGTCAGAATTCTGAGTTTTTTCCCATATTAAACTGAAATAAAATTTTATTTTAAAATTTCCATTGGCCCTAATCCTCTTCCGTACAAAGCAGTAGTTATTTAGAAATTCACACCAAAAAAAAACAAAAAACCAATATAATCTGTGAAGATTAGATAGAAAAAATAAAACAGAAGAAAAATAAAACAGAAGAAAATGTAAGAATAGAAACTAAATAAATGAAAAACCCACAAAAAAAGTAAATCCAATCAAAAGAACACAAATATTTTCAAAACCTTTACAAGTCAACAAACAAAAACAATCAGTGGCGGTTCTAGACCAAATGTGCCAGGGGGCCAGGAGGGGGCCAGCATGTTTTCATGGGGGCCCAGAAAAGCATGACATAAAAAACGGCAAGAGATTCAAATATATTAAGAGAGCTGCATGAAGTGAAATTCCTTTAATTAAAATTCTATGACTAATTAGTAGTTCAATATATATTCATAATTTAGGAATTTTACATATTTTTGACTTAATTTAAGTTGAAATCTTTTCTATAAAATCAGGAAAAGAAACGGATCAATTCGGCTGTAAAAAAATGTTTTGAAAAAAAAAAAAACATTTAGCAGATGAAAGCTGGGATTCTATCTCAATGCCACTGAAGCTATCACCTTATTGTTTTTAAATAATTATTAAAACATATTTTATAAAGAAAAAGTGATAAAATAGATCCAAAGTAGCTATCAGGAACTATGTCTGTTCCAGCGCTGATCATCATTAGAATTTCTTTTTAGTATTATGTATTTAGTACAGGGGCCAGGACATGATCCACAGGGGCACTGGCCCCCATTGGCCCGTCTAGAACCGCCCATGAAAACAATCCTGATAACTGAATAGAATTAAGTTATAAAACAATAGAAATTCAATTCAGTTTATCTCTATAGCTCCAATTCACATCATGTCATCTCAGGTCACAGTTCAACCAGATCATCCAGTCAGATTGATTCAAAGTTTTCTATCTAAGGAAAACCAGCTGATTGCATCGACTCATTGACTCTTCAGCAATCCCTCACACTAAGCATGCTTGTAGCGACAGTGGAGAGGAAAAACTCCCTTTGAACAGCTCAAGGTTTAAACATCTGAGCTTTTTTTTTTTTTTTCAAATTTATCATCTGGACGTGGAAAGAGTCTGCAAACCTCCCAAGACAAGGCCGTCCTGCTAAACCGTTAGAGAAGAAGCCAAGATATTCTTGCTCATTAATGGTATGGTGGTAGAAAGCCAATCCCTGCAATGTAGGGATGACAACATAGCATAAAAGAAGTATGTAAATATAAGGTTTGGAACTCCAACAAAAACAGTTGCAGTGGACATCGCACTGAGTGCAGGGAAATTCAGTTCAATCAAGGAGGTGGCAGTATCATGCTGTGGTGAGGGTTTATTTCAGGAGGGATATGCAAGAACGACAGAGTGAATAGGGAAGGGAATCATGTAAATACAAAAAAGACCAGTTAGAGGCTGTAAGACGTGAGAGGGGATGCTCACCTTCCTGCAGAACGGAAACTAGAAACGTTAAGTCAGATGCAAACAATGGCTCAAAGACAATCAAGAGTGTGAGCACTAAACTGGCTTGTACTGTACATTTTTTTGTTTTGTTTTTTGTTTTAACTTCTCTTTTTGTTTTTTTTAATGCAGTTGTGTGTCGTTACTAACCTCCCTCCCCCTTAATGCTAACACCCTTTAAAAGCCTAACCAGGGACGAAGGCTGCAAATTAGCCCATGGCTACAAGCCTTATGTACTTGGACATCGGCCACCTGTTTGGTTGCAATGTTTAATTGTACTGTCCCTGTCAAAAAAAGAGAAAAAAAACAAAAAAACTATTGATTTATGTCCATGGCTTTCAAACTATGGTGCATGTACCACTAGTGACATCCATTCATCCATCTATCCATTTTTCGTCACGCTTTATCCCTTGTGGGGTGGCGAGGGGTGCTGGTGCCTATCTCCAGCTGTCTGTGGGTGAGAGGCGGGTCCACCCTGGACAGAGAGGCGGGGTCCACCCTGGACAGAGAGGAGGGGTCCACCCTGGACAGAGAGGCGGGGTCCACCCTGGACAGAGAGGCGGGGTCCATCCTGGACAGAGAGGAGGGGTCCATCCTGGACAGAGAGGAGGGGTCCATCCTGGACAGAGAGGCGGGGTCCATCCTGGACAGAGAGGAGGGGTCCATCCTGGACAGAGAGGAGGGGTCCATCCTGGACAGAGAGGCGGGGTCCATCCTGGACAGAGAGGTGGGGTCCACCCTGGACAGAGAGGCGGGGTCCATCCTGGACAGAGAGGTGGGGTCCATCCTGGACAGAGAGGTGGGGTCCATCCTGGACAGAGAGGCGGGGTCCATCCTGGACAGAGAGGAGGGGTCCACCCTGGACAGAGAGGCGGGGTCCATCCTGGACAGAGAGGCGGGGTCCATCCTGGACAGAGAGGCGGGGTCCATCCTGGACAGAGAGGTGGGGGCCACCCTGGACAGAGAGGTGGGGGCCATCCTGGACAGAGAGGAGGGGTCCATCCTGGACAGAGAGGCGGGGTCCACCCTGGACAGAGAGGTGGGGTCCATCCTGGACAGAGAGGTGGGGTCCATCCTGGACAGAGAGGTGCGGTCCACCCTGGACAGAGAGGCGGGGTCCACCCTGGACAGAGAGGTGGGGTCCATCCTGGACAGAGAGGTGGGGTCCATCCTGGACAGAGAGGTGCGGTCCACCCTGGACAGAGAGGCGGGGTCCATCCTGGACAGAGAGGTGGGGGCCACCCTGGACAGAGAGGTGGGGTCCATCCTGGACAGAGAGGTGGGGTCCATCCTGGACAGAGAGGTGGGGTCCATCCTGGACAGAGAGGCGGGGTCCATCCTGGACAGAGAGGAGGGGTCCACCCTGGACAGAGAGGCGGGGTCCATCCTGGACAGAGAGGTGGGGTCCATCCTGGACAGAGAGGTGGGGTCCATCCTGGACAGAGAGGAGGGGTCCATCCTGGACAGAGAGGCGGGGTCCATCCTGGACAGAGAGGTGGGGTCCATCCTGGACAGAGAGGCGGGGTCCACCCTGGACAGAGAGGCGGGGTCCATCCTGGACAGAGAGGTGGGGTCCATCCTGGACAGAGAGGCGGGGTCCATCCTGGACAGAGAGGCGGGGTCCATCCTGGACAGAGAGGAGGGGTCCACCCTGGACAGAGAGGCGGGGTCCATCCTGGACAGAGAGGTGGGGTCCATCCTGGACAGAGAGGAGGGGTCCACCCTGGACAGAGAGGAGGGGTCCACCCTGGACAGAGAGGTGGGGTCCACCCTGGACAGAGAGGAGGGGTCCATCCTGGACAGAGAGGCGGGGTCCACCCTGGACAGAGAGGTGGGGTCCATCCTGGACAGAGAGGCGGGGTCCATCCTGGACAGAGAGGCGGGGTCCATCCTGGACAGAGAGGAGGGGTCCACCCTGGACAGAGAGGAGGGGTCCACCCTGGACAGAGAGGAGGGGTCCATCCTGGACAGAGAGGCGGGGTCCATCCTGGACAGAGAGGTGGGGTCCATCCTGGACAGAGAGGAGGGGTCCACCCTGGACAGAGAGGCGGGGTCCATCCTGGACAGAGAGGTGGGGTCCATCCTGGACAGAGAGGTGGGGTCCATCCTGGACAGAGAGGCGGGGTCCATCCTGGACAGAGAGGAGGGGTCCACCCTGGACAGAGAGGCGGGGTCCATCCTGGACAGAGAGGTGGGGTCCATCCTGGACAGAGAGGCGGGGGCCATCCTGGACAGAGAGGTGGGGGCCACCCTGGACAGAGAGGTGGGGGCCATCCTGGACAGAGAGGCGGGGTCCATCCTGGACAGAGAGGTGGGGTCCATCCTGGACAGAGAGGTGCGGTCCACCCTGGACAGAGAGGCGGGGTCCACCCTGGACAGAGAGGTGGGGTCCATCCTGGACAGAGAGGTGGGGTCCATCCTGGACAGAGAGGTGCGGTCCACCCTGGACAGAGAGGCGGGGTCCATCCTGGACAGAGAGGTGGGGGCCACCCTGGACAGAGAGGTGGGGTCCACCCTGGACAGAGAGGTGGGGTCCACCCTGGACAGAGAGGCGGGGTCCATCCTGGACAGAGAGGTGGGGGCCACCCTGGACAGAGAGGTGGGGTCCACCCTGGACAGAGAGGTGCGGTCCACCCTGGACAGAGAGGTGCGGTCCACCCTGGACAGGTCTCCAGTCCACCGCAGGGAAACACAGAGAAACAGGACAAACAACCGTTCAAACTCACACATAAGGAGGATTTAGAGAAGCATGTTAACTTAACACACTTCCAACTAAAGGCGGCCATATTTTCAAGGTAAACATATTAACTGTGATGCAGTGAACCACTATGTTTTGTTCACTCCTAAATTCCAAAGTTCGACATGAGAATGACACTTCAACCAGGTTTCAGTTAAACTAGCTAAGATGCAACAGGAACGAATAGAACGGTCTTAGAATCTGACTATATGACTGGACTGAAAGGACAATATATATACATGATTTGTTTTGTAAATCCTGCTGTAATCTGACACTATAAGAATAAAGATAATGGAAGTGAAAAAGTAATCTGATTTGCTAATTAATCTGCAACCAGACTAAATATTGCAAATAAAACAGCTTTTTAAAGACCAGCTTGTTGATTAAAAC